GTCTCCCTCCCCCCGGTGCGGGATCCCCCGTGGGTGCCCGGCCGGGGCCCGGTGACTTCCCCGGCGCATTTCGGCACCGACCCTCTCCGGGGGCAGCGGCTGCGGGTCCCGCCCGGGGGCCGGGGGGGGCCCGGGGCGCCCCCGCCGCGGGGCAGGAGGGAGGCGGTAGGCCCCGAGATGGCGGGCCGTGCTGTGGGGGGCCGAGCATCGCCCCCCCGTGCCCGGTGCTTCCTCTCCGTCCTCCCCTTCCTCACCAGCGCTGGGCCGCTTTCCCCAGGCTGCCTCCAGCCCCCGGGAGAGCCGGGTTTGCTGGGGAAGGCGGGAGGGAATCCCTGTTGGCAGGAGCCGGGGGCGGGTGGGTGCAGGCGGCTCTCCAGGCCGGCTGGCTGGGGCTTTGTGCCGGAGGGAGCGCAGGCCGCCGCTCCTCCAGCCCGCTGCCTGCCCAGGCCCGCGCTGCTGCTCTCGGTGCCCGGGGAGGCCAGCGAGGTCGAGGGGTATCTGACCTGGGAGAGGGGTGCAGGTTTCGCAGCCCCGTGAGCTCCATTGAGATCCTAAAGCAAGCGGGGAGTAAAGAAGTTAAGCTGTCCCCGCTGGCTCGGCGGTTGTGCCCCTGGCAGCCAGGCCCCTGGGAGGGGAGTGCAGAGAGGGACGGGCCCCCCGTGTGCAATCACCAGTCAAACTCAGTCCCAAACTGAGTTGCTGTGCCTCTTCTGTGGGGGCAGGTAGTTGAGTTTCCAGGCCTGTACTCTCTGGCCTGTTTATTGTCGACATGTTTTCCATCTGACCTCAATGGAGAAGGAAATGGCCAGTCTCTTCGGGTGCTGGTACGGGCCTGGATAATGGCGAGTGCTTTCCTCGACTTGGAACGAGCTGCGGGCTGGTAGCAGTGAGCAAGAGAGTCTCTCCTCCAGACCCTGTTCACCATGCAGAGCACCCCAGATGATCTGCAAATCTCGTACTCCTCCCAGCTCTCTCTGCGCAAGCGTGTGCTTAGCTCTTGTTGCAGTTGTGCAGATACTTAGGGATGAGTTAACACAAAAGATGTTTCTCCCTCCCAGCAGTTCCCCCCAGCCAAACCAAATTGCTTGGCAGATCTGGATCCTTGGGGAGGATCAAAGCCTCGGGGCTGGGCTGGCAGCGCTCCACACTGTTTACATATATGTATATTCACGGCACTGTTAACACCAGACCATTTAATAATATTGAATTTTGTATTTATTACATTTCTTAAATACCATCTAAGGAACCTCAGTTTCCTGGGGTATTCCTAATGTTTGTTCCTAGGGCACAGGAGGCCAACTCTCCACGCAGCCATGCCTCATCATTTGTTCTCTTGCTGTGTTACTGGGGTCTCTCATCCTGCAGTGGCAGCGTCTTTCCACAGAGCCGACGGCTTCCTTCGGCTCTGCCTTGTGTGCAGCCTGACCGCCCAGCCCGAGGTACAGCTCAGCCAGAGCAGGGAGCAAACACCTTGCTTTCAAATCTCACCATTTCTTTTCAGCAGCAGCAACTGAATGTGACTCCCCGCGGGCCAGGGCGGGCTGAGTCTCTGAGTCCCTGCAACAGCCCCATCGCTATGACAGCCGGGGACTCAAAAAAAAGAGACCTTGCTTGTGTTAATGGCTGTCCTCCGGGGCAGCCCGCCTGGCTGCTGGTCTCTGATGCCAAATGGCACAGGAGTAAAGTGATCTGGGGGCTACCAGCAGTGAAGCAGGGCTGTTTCTCCAGGCAGCGGCAAAGCCTCGGGCTGCCCCCCTCCCTCCCATGCTGTCCTCAGCTTTGAGATCCTTTGTTTGTCCTGAGTCCCCTTGAGCCTTTCCCCAGAACACTCCCCAGTCACAGCAATTAGAGGGTTTCTTTCTGTCCTGAGCCAAATGATCTTCAACATCCTGTCCCTTCCCTTCACTTCGGCTGCTTTGTTCTCTGCCCACAACAAAATCTCAGCTAAGCAGAGCGGCCTTTTCCTCCTTTATCTCAGCACTTCCTCCTGGACTACCCTTGGCCCATTTTCTTCAAGAGCCACCACACCGACGGAGGAGCAGGACTTCTTTACCCAGACCCCAGCCCACGGCATAACCATCGCTGCGGCTGCCCAGCCCCACGGGGGAAGAGGCAGGCGGCTTGTGCGACGGGACCGTCCAGCCGCCACCTCCAGAAAGCTCTTGGATGCAATGAGAAGCCCAGGCTTTCTCTCATTTGTGTGGGGTTTTATTGCAGGCTCCTTGTGGGGTTGCAGCGACGAAAGCGCAGCTGTGCTTGCCTCGTTTGGATCTTGTTTGATTAGCAGAAAAGACCTGCATCAGCCTGTCTGTCACAGCGTTTGAACGTGCTGCCTCTCACCGAGCGTGAGCGTGGTTGCCTTTCATTTCTGGGATTTAACTTCTAAATATTGAGCAGTTCTACAAATGTGCGGGTCATTTTGTTTCAGGTATCTTCCTCTCCTCTTTCTCCTCCCGGCTGGTCGGTTCCCTGGGGTTATAACCGTGCGCACGCACAATGCCCTGGGACGGGCCTATGGTGCTGGAGCCGGCGGGGAGATAAGAGGCCAGCTTGGCCGCCATGCTCTGGCTCTGTCGCACCGCCACGGCGCACGAAGGGACGGCGCCGGCAGCAGCAGGAGCTGCGGCTGGAGAACTTTGTGCTTGAATTGCTCTGGGTTATGAACCCTCGCTCGTGGGGCGAGAGCTGCTGGCCTGGCCCCAGGGCAATGGGGTGCAGAGGAAGTGCTGCGATGGGTGAAGCCGCCCTTCGGACCTGCTGGCTGTGAGCGGCGCGCGGTTTCGTCAGTGCGTGGAGCAGGGTCCAGGCGTGCCTGGCGAGCTAGCATCCACCACGGTGCAGGCGAAAGCAGCAGGCAGAGTGGTGAGAACGGGTAGGAGGGCCCGACGGCGTCACCCACAGTAATTGGCGGCCCGTGGCATGTGGCTGCACGACCACGAGATGCCGGGATGTCTCCACTCGCAGCGTTTGTTCTTTAGGATGTCCCTGTCACACACCCAGCTGCTATGATTATTAATTACTATTTATACTTTGCGTTGGGTATGCGCTGCATTTTAAAGACCAGCAGAGGTGGGAACCCTGCCCTCCTGGAGGCTCCCAGGCTAGGTGGGAGGGTGAGACCTTCAGCGTGTCTTGGGGGGAGCTCAGACCACCCGGACAGCGTGCTCTACCCCCTGCTCCCCGGCCACATCAAGAGAGGGGGCAGGCCCCCACCACTGGTTTATCAGCCCCCTTTCCTGCTCTTCCATCCTGTTTGCTCCTGAGCCCTGCAGCCCCTGCCCGGCTCCGCAAGCCTGGCTGCGTCAGGCGGACGGAGGGGGTCCTTCGTGCCACGCTGGGTGTGCATCTGGCAGGGGACACTGGGAACAGCGGGTGTGCGGGTGTGTGCAGGGGGAATTGCACCAATGCCCCTGGAGCCTGCCCACGAAGTCTGTACCGCAACGGGTGTTCAGGCTATTGCGTGGATCCTCTGATGGTTTGGGCAGGGCGCTTGGCCAGGCAGTGACAGCTTCTCAGTGTGGAGGGGTATTTTACAGTGAGGAGCTATTTCTTGGTGCCTTCAGCAGTGTCCCCTGCGTGCCAGCCCTGCTGCTGGCCCCCAGGTCTCCTTCCCACCCACCCCAGCAGCCCCTGGTTAGCTGAAGGCAGACATCTGTCACAGTGTGTGCCTGGAGAGGGAACGGCGAACCACGCTGCGGTCGGTGCTGCTGACAGAGGGTGGGTTGGGGCTGTCACGCGGCTGCCAAAGGGCCACGCTGCTGGCATGAACTTTCCCCTGGTGAGCGGCCAAATTTAGGCACAGCCATCTCCTGCCCCCAAAGCGGGTTTTGGCTGTGTGGGTTGCACCAGCCCACACACCTCAGGCACTTTTCTGCTGTGGTTTTCCAAGCCCAGGCTCAGTCGCAAGCTCAGCTGAAGGAGGGGTGTGAAAGCAGGGCCAAGTTCCCATGCTGGACTCTGTGGCTGGGGAGCTCGCTGGTCCCTTGTAAGCCTGGGAGCTGCAAGCTTTCCCACTTCCCTGCTTGGCGGGAGGAAAAGCGGGGGCCAGGCAGGTGGAGGGGTCCCGTTGGTACCCAGGGCAAAATCCTTGTTGGATAGGTGCTCTCCTTCTGCCCTGCCAGCACTGTTGCGATGTCCAGGCAGTGCAGTGGCCATGGCCTCTTCTGTCTGGCCAGGCATCTGGGAAGAGCCATCTCCGTGCTGGTGGTGGTCGGCAGCCACCTCTTCTTCACCAGCACAGGGCCCAGCCATGCCTTGGGCTTATCTGGAGCAGGGGGAAAGGGTCATGCTGGGATGGGGGACCCCTACCCCTGGGCTGGGGGAATCCCAGTCCCTACGGTGGTGCATCCCTACTGCTGAGGTCCAGCCGAGCACTGCCGGAGCCCGGCAAAACTCTGCTGGCCCTAGTTCTACAGGTTTAGTAACATTGTAGTGTTCGATGGACTCATGGTCCGTTCCTCAGATCACGCTATTTTGAAAGGGTCCAATGCCTCTGCCCGTTCCTGGCTGGTGAGGGGTGCAAGGAGCCTTTGTCAGGCTCCGGCGGCATGCTGGCGAGGGCAACCCCGTCACCCGGGCAGGAGGGTTCGCGCTCTGACTGTGTTTTGTCCCTGCGGTACCGCTTGCTTCCTTTTTTTTTTCTCACACACGCTGCGGTAAAACGTGTGCGCCCTGCGTTTGGAGCAAACAACAAACCCACGTCATGTGTTTTCGCTTTCTCTGTTTCCTTGCCTCCACATGTTAGAAATCTGCAGCGTCCGTGCACTTTCCGTTTGGTACAAACAGAGTACGCTCGGTCGCCAGCGGAGATGGCAACAGGAGGTTTGCATGGGCACCACAAAAATATTTTGGGCTCTGGTGAAGCGGGTCCCCCTCCCTGATTTCCAGACGCTTCTTTGGCGGGGGCAGTTTGTAGACAGCAGCAAGGCTAAACAGGGATTTTCTGAAACGTGCCTGGCAAATGTCTGGGACTTAAAACTGTGTTGGAGGCTCTCGCCCATGCTGGGCACCAGCACGTCAACCCAGGCCCTGCTGGGGATGTGGCCGCAGAGGTTTGGCCCGCCGCTCGGCCGCTGGCAGGGACGACAAGGTGGTGGCTTTGCTAATTTGCTGGCACGTCCCTCCTCTGGGCAATGCTGAGGGGGGACCTCCTCGCCTGCAGCCTGGGGCTGCTGGAGAGACCACGCTCACCCCGCTGCTTCGGCAGCCGGTATGGAGGGAACGCTGGCCAGGGCGAGGAGCCCCTGGCAGCACAGGGACCTGGGGTGGCCGACACCTGCCCCGAGAGGGGCTAGCCTACTGGCCGGTGCTGAGCTGGTGAGAGGCAGCGCTGGCCCCCACGGGCCCTTTCCCAGGGAGCGGTGCGGGCGGTGAGCTGCGGCAGTCCTTGGCTATCCCCTTCGCTCTGACGGGCAGCTCAGAAATAGCAGCTGGCCCAGTTCTCCCGCCCCCGTGGCCCAGATCTCTAAGAACGGAGGTTGCTCGCGCAGCAACAGCAACAGCAGCAGCATCAGGCGCTGCATTTAGCCCATGAGCTCAAACAGCGGGAGAGGCTGCCAGCAGGATCCCAGCCTGGCTGGGTGACGCTCCTGCTTGGAGACTGCGCTGCAGGCTCTGTTTGTTGCTGTAAACACGCTCGCTGCTGCAGCTTCCCTGTTACTATCTATAGCCGCGATCTCTTGGCTCCCGTGCAAGGCGAGTCTGCGGTCTGGCTCCCAGCTTAGCCTGACCTGAGCCAGGGCTGCCTGACATCCCCGTCGTGGGTGGGTGTCTCCGGGCTTCGCTGCAACGAGGATCAAAACAAAACCCAAACTGGAGGAAAGGACGAGCCTCACCCCTCGCTCCTCGCCGGTGGTTTCCCGGTGGCCCCGTGCCGGTGCCCTTGGCGGGTGTCCCAGCACCCCCGAGCGCCGCTCCCAAGCTCTCCCAGCCTTCCTGGGGGGCTGCGGCCCCCCGGGCTCCCCTGGCGGGGCTTCCCAGCGCTCTGTGCCATTGCCCTGGCTCCCCACTATCGCCCTGCCTACATAAAAGACAAGTAAACAGTGCCACGCGAGCGCAGCGCGTTCCTCGCTGCAGGGCCGCGGGCAGGTCGGGCTTTCCGCACGCGGGGCCCGCCGTGTCCCCGTGCCCAGCCGTGGGCAGACCCCGCTCCCTGCCGGGGCCGGGGCTTTGCTGGCAG